TCGTCTTTGCTGGATATGAAACCAAGTAAGAGATACACCTCTAGGTGGGTCTTCAAGGGTATTTTCCAGGACTGATGTCTGGGGAAGGGGGCCTCCGAGAGACAAGGAAGTCCCAGAGAAAAGCTGTTGCTTTTTGCCTGCCCGCCTTCACCTCTTGCTAATGAGTCCATCTATCCTACAGCTGTCATCGTCACTGCTGCCACTGCCCTTTGCTAACACAGAAATACATTCCCTTTGGACTTCCAGAATGGACTGAACACCAGGGGCTGGCTCTCCACGGATGCTCCAGAGTGCAGTACCAGACTAGGACTTGCTGAGTCATGCAGCCTCATAGACCAGCAGCGAGTGGTTCCCAGGCTCTCTAAACATGAGGGAAGGCTCCAGCTCCGGACCAGATCAGCAAGGTCATCCTTCATGTTTTTCCCTGGGAACGGCCAATGGGCAATCCCAGCTTTCCTGTCCTATGGCCTGTCAGACACTGCTTGGCTTGGTTCACGGAAGTGCTTTCTTCCCTCAACTTCTGAAACACCACTCACACGCAGTTTTCATCCACATCACTGCCTCTCATCTTCTTCACTGGTCATTCTATCTACCAGTGCTCAAAACGCAGAGGTCCCCAGGCTCCAGACTCAGCCCTTTGTGTCCCCTCTGCAATCCTGTATATTCACTTCTCCAGGTCATCTTGTGAGACCGACTTACACAGTCTGTGTACTGAACTCTGAACTTTTTGTTTCTAGTAGAGGTGTTTCCCTCTCAACTCAGACTTCACACATCCACCTTCTGCTTAGAACCCACGTCCACGTATCACAGACTTCTCAAATCTGGTCTAAAATCAATCTCCCAGAGGCTGAGAATGTCCCGCAGTGGTACAGCACTTGCCTGGTATGAGGGATCCTGCATTTGATGCCCAGAACCTCGAACACAGAGAACAATCAATCCTGGGTGGCACACGTATGTGACCTCAGTTCCCACCTATGCACACATCCCAGCCATCGCTTCAGGGTGGGCAAGGGGTCTGCTCAGACCTTTCCCACAAAGAACAATAGGAGCAAGGTAGCAGGGAGGAGATTTGACACTTTTTCCTGCTGCCATTCATTGTAAATCCAGAGGGCAACATCAAGCTCACACCTATTTCTTTAGACACTAAGGTGAGCTGGACAAGACGGCACATATCTGTCATTCTAGCTACTCCTGAGGCAGGAGGTTCACAAATTTAAAACCAACCTGATTTACTCAGTGAGTTTAAGTCCAGCCTGAGCAACTATCTCAAAGTAAAACCCTTTTTAAAGGTCTGGGGCTGTAGCTTAGTGGTGCAGCACTTACCTGGCAACCATGGGTTCGAGTCCCTAGCTTGGGCAAAGAGAGCCAATAAGTTACATTTATCCATTTAAAAAATTGAAAAAATATATTAGTGGACAAATTCATACTCAAATAAAAATAAAAAACACTAAGCCCACTTAAAACACTGTTCTTCAAAGCACCTAGAAGACCATTTGGAATATTTGACAAACATGTAGAAATCATAATTTACTTATTTAACCAAAGGGTTTCAACTCAGCCATGACTCCAGTGCTAGGCAGAACTAGTGACCAGCCAACCACTGCCAGTTTCTCAGTGACTAAAATGATGTCCCAGTCCCACTCACCACATCCTGCCATGGTCTCAGACCCACTATCCCAAACGGCCCAGCCTGTTGGTGCTAGAGTAAGAATCCTAGGTGATCCCTCCTTACAGGGAACTTGTTTCTAATTTTCTATATGAAAATGAGTCTCTTGAACAGTTTCATCTCCAAACTGTACACTGGCTCTGTCTGACAGCAGAGTTGGGACCCTGACCAGGCTTTGGTTCGCCGATGGGGCAAGCTCACTTAAAACAGGCAGAATCCTTCATTCCTTCACTCAGTCACTTTCTCAGAGCAAAGAGTGGCTGTCAGAGCAGACCGAAAAGGAATGTGAGGCGTGTGCTCTTCTTAAGGAGCAGGTTATATGTAGATCCCAAAGGTAGCGCCTCGGAGAATATGGATATTTATGAAACAGAGAGGACCCAGTCTACTCCAAACATGGCGATCCAGCATTAGCAAAGATGAGCGTGCAGCCACCACTGTGCACTTCAGTCTCTTCACGTCAAAGCAGCTGTTTCCATGACCTAACTGTCCTGTAGCCACGGAAGCTATCATTGTATTTCAGGAGTAAATAAAGCAGCATTTGTCCCATCTTTTTGTTCCTTTTGCTGTTGTTGACAGGGTCACCTGCCTAGCTTTTAAAGATTTAAGTCCGTACGTGAAAATCTGGTCATAGTTCTGATTCTCATTTTACGAATATGCTTTGCAAAGAAACCCTTGGCCTGGACGATGGTTCAGTAGGTGAAGGCGCCCTACCCTGACCTACCTGAGGCTGCTGAGCTGGGCTCAGTGCAGGGTGGGGGTCTACGAAAAGGTCAAAGAAGACAACCACCTCCACAAAATCCTCTGACCTTCACACCCACACTGAGGCCCTCCCCCTTCCTTTGCAAAAAACATAGAATAAACGAAAAATTTAAAAACTCTTCCTCTATAGTCACGTTATTTAGGAAATTAACATCTTCTATTTAGTACAAGATAATCGAGAATGTCCTGATCAATCTCTTCCATGTCACTCAGGACTGCCCTGATTGACACTTCCGGGCTCCACAGTTTGCTTTCTAGCTTTCCTAAACCAAAAGACAATGCAGACGTATAAATAACTTACAACCGGGCTCTGGAAATTCAGCCAGGAAAGACCTGCCCACCAACTCAGCATAGCTGTTGGGGAGAGGGTTAAAACTGAACTTGAGGAATTGTGTATTTCAAAGTGCTTCGGTTCATTAAACAGTCTTTTTTTTATTTCAGTCATATCAGAATTATTTGCATTGCTACTGCAGAAGTCCAGATCCACTGTATTAAAAAATATTTTACTGTGTTATTTTATTTTTCCCCCAAGAGATGAATGCACTTTGACTTTTAGAGCAAAGATGTGAAACAACTTTCATATACAGAGCTTCACTTCATAAGAAAGCATGTGGATTTGAAACACATTTTAAGTCCTGGGCACTGGGGGATCTTCCCAGGGCCCTTGATCAACATCAGCAATGAGCGCTGGGGTTTGATCCCTAGCAATGGGGAAAAAATGAGCCTTGCATGTCACACTATTCCTCAAGAACACAGCATTCAGAGACTGCAAAGCCAGTTCATCAGTTAAGAGCATTGCCTGCTGGCTCTTCCAGAGGACCCAGGTTTTACTTCCAGAATCTGCATGTTAGCTCAAAACCATCCACAACCCCACTTCCAGGGGATCCAATGCTCTCTTATTTAGCCTTCAGGCATCAGGCACACATATAGACATACATGAATTTTTCTTAATTAAAAAAGATAAAAGAAAATAACATTTGTAGGGACAGAAGTCTACTGTTACCACACATATTCAGAAGGGAGGGAAATGTATTAAGAATAAACCAACTCAAAGGAGGCTTTTTATGTCTGGTATTGGGATTTTTGTCTGGTGGTCCTTGGCTCTTGGAGGAGTGCCATCAGCTCAGGTGAAAAAAGTTCATTAAAACTATATATGTCTATGTTCACACTGAATTACATGTTTTAAAGGTGACAGCTTGTAGTATGATTCCATGTGGTTTTTCAGTCATCCATGTTGTTGTTTTCCTTCCCTCACTCCCTCCCTCCCTCCTTCTCTCTTTCCCTCCCTCCCTCCCTCCTTCCCTCCCTCCCTCCCTCCCTCTTCAGGAAGGATCCCTCCATTTCCCCTGTACAAACACATAAATGCATGCAATACAACTGATGAAAAAGAAGGCATTAATTTGAGGGAGAGCAGGGAGAAGCATGGGGCGGAGGCTAGGAGGGAGGAAGCAGAAGGGAGAAATGTTATAATTAAAATACAATCTAAAAAGTAAACAAACAAAAAGACATATCTTTAATCCCAGCACCTGGGAGACAGACGCAGATAGATCTCTGTGAGTTTAAGGCCAGTATGATCTACAGAGTGAGTTCCAGGACAGGTTCCAAAGCTACAGAGAAACCCTGTCTAAAAAAAAAACCAAGAAAAAATGAATCTATAAAAAAGAATAAAATAAAACAAAAGGTAATCACCAATGTCATCTGGTTGTAGACCCTGGGAACTACATTAATGACCTGCCTGGTAAGTAGTTCTAATTAGTGCAATAGTGCTACAAGTGTTAAGGGAGTAACCAATCACTTGCTGCTTATTTTTATGGCCCATACCACAAAATAGGACCCATACTCAACATTGTCAACAAGATCAAGAACTTATGGCTAGATATATTATGGGCTCTAGAGGAAAACCTAGCATTACCCTATTAAACAGACACAGTACTAAAAACAACCGTAAGTCAATGCATCTCTCAACCTTTATCAGAGAAGCGTCTTTTTGCAATAGATGGTAATTGTAACAGAGACCCACAAGAGAGCTTTTAGAGTGCTCACCCCTATATCAAACCCCTTCTCCTCAAGGCTCAGGGGTCTATGTGAAAGAGCTGAAGAGCCAGATGTGGAGAGTGACGAGAGGAAGCACACTTTCCAGACATAACAGGGCAATTACACAGATGAACACACAGCAATTGTGACAGCATGCACAAGACCTGTGCTAGCTCAAGCCAGCGAAATGCCAGCATGTAAAGGCCCACCCCTAGCTAAGAAGCTATTGGCATTTGGTTGCTGCTTAAAGAAGAAAAGTCATGTTTCTTTACAGATGTGACATCTGGTTTATCAACCACACTCCAGGGCAGGTCATAACACAAATTGGACTCCACGGCGGAGGGTGGGGAGGGGGAGGAGGAGAGGGAGGAAGAAGTTGGGTGGATACAAGGTGTGAGATCTGGGAGGAGCTGATATTCTCGAAGAATTAATAATAAATCTTAAAAATCCCCCAGATCTCAAATCCTATGAGCCATACCCACAGAAAAGTACTCCCCTGCTAGGTATCATCTCAATCCCAGATACCCACCACAGAACCTACCGCTTGCTTTGGCTTCTGAGTAGGAGGGGCCATCCTCAAAGGTGAAGATCTGGGACATGCTCTGGCCCAGGTAGGAGGGAGGCCCGTAGTATGAGTGCATCCTGTACTGGGAGCTCACCGGGTGGCGGCTCTCTGCGCTCTTCATCTGCTTAAGAAAAATCAAACACCTTTGTTAGGGTTTGAATATGAAGTGTTCCCCACAGGATTGCATGCCCAAGGCCTGGTCCCCTTCTCATGGCACTAGCTTGAGAAATTCTGGGAACACTAGGAGATGTGACCTAACTAGAAACAGTAAGCTCGGGGAAGGGGGGCGACTCTAGAGGACAGTTTGTCTTTAACCCCTCCAGTATCTGTCTTTTCTTCCTGGGTCCCACAAGATGAGCTGCTCTGCTCTGTCACACACTCCATACCTCAATTTCGGCATATCTCTGCACCTTATATATCGAGGTAGGGTCTTTCACTTAAACCCAGAGTTAACCAATTCAGCTACTCCAACTGGCCAGCTTGCTCCAGAGATCTCATCTCCACCTCTTGACAACTGTAATTGGGTGCCCAGACCTGCCCCATATTTATACAGACGCAGGGCATCTGAACTCTGAGCCTCACGATTGCATGCCAAGCACTTTACCCACTGAGCCGTATTTTCAGTCTGTCTCAGATTGAGAGGGTGTTGCTGTGGATTCTGTAAGTGCTTCAGCAGAACTCCAGCACCCTTCAAACTAAAGCTGCAGACTTCCCAGGAGCCAGTTTCACAGTCTGAAAAATGAGCACTGGCGTAACAGTCAGGGGCCAACTTTAAGCACAGATGCCCATGTGAATAATGGGCTCCCTGTTCTGGGTGCTGAGTTAGTCGCCTCTCCTCAGGTTTGACAATATCTACAAGTCAGTTCTTCAAGGAAATAGTTCTCAATATCTCCTGTGCACAAAGCAATAGGACTTGAGCCCACAAGCTCTGAAAACTGCTGCATTTTTTCCTTTTGCTGTGGAAGTACATACAGATATGGAAATAGTTAATATTTACCATGACTTCAGAGCAACAGCCAGCAAGCATTTTACTATAAATGGCCAAATAGTAACTAATGGAGGGTTTACCATGGTGTGTCTAGGCAACAGCAAATGAATGGGCATGGCTGTGTCCCAATAAAACTTTATTTATAAATATGTGGACAAGCTGTCAATCTTGATTCTCACTGGAATAAAGGAAGAAGCTGATGCCTTGCTTCCACCCCTTGAAAATCTAATTCAACTGGTCTGGCAAGTGGCCTGGACCCTGGTCTTTCCCAAGCTCCCTAAGTAATTCTAACACATCCCAAGACTCTAAAAATAACCGATATGTATCATATACCAGAGAAGAACAAGATCCTATGTATTTAAAAACAGTTAAAAGGTCAAGTCTGACAAGCAGATTGGCCAACAGCTGCCACCCAGCATGCACACGGCCCAGAAAGCTATGCCAACAAATGGCACTCTTTCAAACAGCTCACTGAAAAATAAGCGCTGTTTCAAAACATACATATGCTTATCATCCCCCATTTAATTCTTTATCTTTCCAGAAAGCATCAAAAACTGTGATTACTTAGAAGTTAGAATTGAGTTATTTGTTTTCAATTACTCAGTTTCCCCAATGCCTCCCTGAGACAACAGAAGACTTCCAGCAAAATAAGGGGTGGGGGATACAAAAGGCCAAACTCCCTTTGAGGTTATTAAGATGTGAGTTTGCTGAGGTCATCAATCACTTCAGCTACATCCAACTCGAAGAATAATGCATAAGGGCTGGAGAGGTGGCTCAACCATTAGGGACTGAACTCAGAAAATGTAGGACCACTACAATAACCATCTACTCCCAAGCCTGCAAAAGAGGAAGGGTTTGTCCTCTAAGAATACCAAGCCCTCTTACACACCAAGTTAAAACTGAGTTGATGTTCACTCCAAAAAGCCTGGGAGTAACTCCAGGTCACTTCCTGTCCCCTTCTAATTTTAGACAGACAGCTGATAATAAACAACACAGTTCTGCTACTCTGGCCTTAGACAAGATAGGTAATGAAGCCTTTGAAATGTATATGATCTCAAAGCAGCAATTTTCATTTGGGGACAAGCTTGTCCCTGTGGGGGAGATTTGGTATCTGGAAACATGTTCAGTTGTCATACCTGAAAGCTAAGAGTTGCTACCGGCATCTAAAGGCCAGCAACACTGCTATACTCCCACAGGGCCCACACCAGTCCCCCTGACAACCAAGCCTCCACACAACACCACAACTATGCCAAGGCTGGGAGACCTCTTTCAAACTAACCTGATACCCTGAAGACCCCGTCCTCACCTCTGGGTGAGAGACAACCACGGCAGCAAATGGAAGAACTGTTCAGTTATGCTAACGGGTGTTATAACTCTCTCTCTCTCTCTCTCTCTCTCTCTCTCTCTCTCTCTCCTGTTATACAATACTAACTTGTTTCTTTGAAATTCCGTTTATTCCTTTATATTAAACACATAAACAAACCAGGCAAAACCTAAAAAATCCAAGATTCCAGTGAATTACGTCTGCTATTATTGTTAGCATGCGGTGGCTGGCAAGCAGGAGACATGTTTTATAATCTTATTACCCGCCCCAGTCTCTGAACTGTAGTGTGACCCAGACAGGATCCCAGCAGGCAGCAAATGCATACCCTGTTAGCATTAACTCCAGATGAAACCGTGAAGCTTGGGGCTTTGTTTACTGAACTGTTGAGAAAATGCACAACTAAAATCTGAGCCACGGCCTCTTTTCCTGCACCCTCACCCGCCAGTAACATCCCAGGGCAGCTCCAGAGCGTCCGACCTCATCACTTCCTTTCTGAAAGTTCTTGAATCCTATCTGCCGCCTGTCTATAAGGCTTCAGGTAGAAGTGCCCGACCTTATAGAAAGCTGACCTTCCTCCGGTGAGGAGCTCACGAGGCGCTAGCTCACAGGTAAATTAAAGAGAGCCGCATTCCCAGAATCCTCCACAGGGCAACACACCTACCTGCAGGGATTACTGTCAAGTTCCATCTGGGGTGAACTTTAGTTTTCAGATCAGAAACACCTTTACAGAAACACTGTTCACAGACTGGAACCTCGGGTCTCCAGCACACACAGAGCAAAAGCTGGGATTACCATTTGCCATCCTTAAAACAATTCCTTTGTCTTGCAATGCCTATTCCCAGGTTTACCCAGCCATCCACTCGAGCCAGGGCAGACCTCACCTGGGCAGGGCTCTTCATCAGAGCCCATTCACCCACCGAGACACACACATTGCGTGCTGTCATTTGTGAAGACTTCTTTTTAATGTACAGGCTATCATACACATGTAATGTGCCTGCTATCATACACACATCTCAGAAAAAACAGAACAACCAGGGATCAAATGCAAAGTCCTATGATGCTGGCACATTCCCCTCGGCTGTGACCCAAGGCTTCTTACTGCCTGTCTCTATCTAGTCTCAAGAGCCTCTAAATTTGTTACCTTCCTCTCTCTGTTCTCATCACCTTCTCTTAAGTGGCCACATAGTAAATGACCCAGAAAAGAAAGGGAGAGGAGAGGGGAGGGGAGGACTTTGGTAGGACACAGGTGCCTGTGAGGGAACCTAGGATCTGTCAAAACACTATGGGGAGGGTGCCCACCATAAGGACTGCCCTCAAGATGCTGAAGAACGCAAAAGATGTTTGTCTTTGTCAAGACACAGAAAAGATGCTCTTCCTCTCCTGGGTTGGTGGGGGTAGGAGAGGAGACCAGCAGAAAGCAAACAATTTAAGAACCAATATGTCTACACCATCTTAGACTATAAAGCCCAAGCTTACCAAAGCAACAGCAACAGAAAGAAGTATCCAAAACCAAGAAAACTCATGTAGATGGGGCTTTTCCAGCAGAAATGAAGAAAGGAGTTTATCTCAGTAAATTCAAGAAATGAGAAAAAAAGTCATAGGAGCAGGTCACACAGACCCAAAGCCTTGCCCCTGGACTCCAAATCCTGGAGCACATGGACAGTGAGTGACTCATTAGCCCTGAGTAGCTAGAAGAGTACCCTTCCCCCCACCATGGGACTTCAGGATCATATGTGGACTTAGGTGATCTACGGTGCTTGACTTCACCATAAAAGCAATTAATCTGTGGATATTGTTAACTTAAATCCTAAATACGCATTTTCAGCCACAATGATCAGTGTTCTCACTATCTTCATCAGCGGCGTTAACTTTTCTTAGACTATGTTTTCCAAAATACAGAACAGAACTGCCACTCATCACAGACCCTGAAATAATCCAGTCACCGTCCACACAACCACTTGGAGGGCTCAAACAGGAGAGTCCCTTGAGCCCAGAAGTGCAAGATCAGCAAGACCAGAGGAAAAAACAATGCCAAATCTGTGTGAGCAGAGTATGCAGTGTGTGGAAGCGCTTGGTGAGCATCTGTGTGCACACATGCCCACGGAAGCACACTTCTTACTGTGGGCTCAGTCTAAAGGCAAGACACCAAGGCTGTTAATCAGGTAAAGGGGAACAATTATATTAAAAAACCTAGCTAGAGAAAGCAAAGCAGAGTCCCTTTTCCTGGGAACTGGAAGGTCTTGGTATATTCCAGGGGGTTCATGAAAGAGAGGACTGGGTGTCTGGAACAATCTCTAGCTAGGACTACCTTAGGATCTTTATCATCTTGGTAAATTCTACAAAGAATTGTCTGGGCTCTTGAGACAAGACCTTGCGTTTGTACAATTCACCATCTAAAATAACTAGGACTGGGAAGGTGGCTCAGGTAAAGGCGCATGCTGCACAAACATCAAGACCCGAATTTAAATCCCATAAACAAATCAGCCAGGAATGGTTACCAGTATACCTGTAATCCCAGTGCTGGCAGGGGAATGGGGAAGAGCAGAGACAGGGGGACCGATGTAACTTGTACATTCCAGATTGAGTGAGAGATTTTGTCTCAAGTGAATAAAGGGCATCTGACAACTTCCTCTTTTCTACATGCTTGTGCACATGAACACATGCACCAACACACTGGCACAAAACACACACACACAGAAAGAGAGAGATAATTAAAAACAAAATAAAATTCCAATCCTAACTTTTCAGCCAAATTCACACAGGCACAAATGACAAAAGCAATTAGATAGATAGATAGATAGATAGATAGATA